ATTATAATCCATTTTATGTATTTACCACATTTTCTTTATCCATTTATCAGTTAATTTGCATGTAAGTTGTTTTCACTTTTTGGCTATTATGATTAATGACGCTATGATCATTCTTGTACATGTTTTTGTGTAGATCTAGGTTTTAATTTCTATTAGATAAATGCACTTAGGAAAAGAATGGTTGGTTCATATGGTAACTATGGTTGAGCTTTTGAGGAATTGATGGGATGTTTCCCAAAATGTCGTTGCCATTTTACAATCCCACGTGGATGTATGAAAGTTCTGATTCATTCACATATGTGTCACCACTTGTTATTTCCTGCCTTTTTTGTGCTATCCACCCCACTGGGTGTGAAGTTACATCTCCTTGTCATTTCGATTTGCGTTTCCCTAATGACTGAAGATGTTGAGTGTTTTGCATGTGCTTGTTGGCCATTTGTAGCACTATTTTTATTTGTTCTTATTATATTCAGATCCTTCACCCGCTTTTGAGATGGGTTACTTCTCTTTTTTGGTGTTGACTTGGAAGAGTTCCTTATATATTCAGGATATTAGACCCTTATTAGATAAATGATTTGCAAATATTTGTAGGTTGTGTCCTTTATAATAAATTTTTAATTTCATTTTTCTCTGCTAAATTGGAAATCATTCCTCACTATTTTTTAATTTTAATTGTAGAAATTAATACTCTGTTTAACAAACTCTGGTCTTAGAAATGTAGATGCATATTTAACTTGTTAAATTATGCAGCAAAATCAAGCTATTTACTCTGGTCCTAAATAATGCACAGATCTTAAAATAATTTAATGTAATAATTCTTACCAGATTAATTAGTTGTCATTGTCATATATTTTAATTATGTTTTTTAATATTTGAGCTTTATAAGATAATAAAATTTTACACAGTAATTTCTTATATGTGATATATATTTTTAACCAGTACAGGTTTTAGAAAAATCCTATATAATAATGAGCTAATATGCTAATTAGACTGAACAGCAGAACGACCATCCAGATGAAGCCGAGGCTGCCATGGCTGGGGCTGGAAGGGCCAACCTCCTTGAACAAATTCTGTGCATTGGGCCTCTAGTTATTCAATAAAAGGTCAGATAGTAGTTTTATCAGCTGTATGGTTTCTGTTCCAGCCACTGTTGTGCAGAAGCAGCTATAACTGATATGTAAATGAACTGACATGAGTGTGTTCCAATACAACTTTATTCACAAAATCTGACAGTTTGCCAGAGTTGGTCATGGCTATGCTTGCTGAGTTATATATATTAGTGCCTTACTAGTCATTTCCTCTCTTAGCTCCATCTTTTCTTGTATCTCAGATCATTTTCCTTCTTCCTTTTTTGTGATGACCTGCTTTTACAAACTTAACTTTGTTTGAAAATGTCTGAATTTTGCCTTCTTTTTCAAAAGATATTTTTCTAAGCCGATAATTTCTTTTTGACAGTTCTTTTCATCTGTTTTTGTAAAGGTACCGTTGTGCTGACTCTCGCTTTTCATTGCTCTTTTGAGATCCACTGTCAGTTTTTGTTTACTTGAAGATATTTTGTCCTTTCTCTCTGGCAGCTATAGAGTATGGCCCCTCTGGTAGCCATCAATTTGTTTTATGTATCTATGTGTCTGTTTCTGTTTTGTTCATTTATTTTTTTCTTTAAATCCGCTTTGGGTATTTGGGTTCTTTTGTGCTTCAATATACATTTTAGAATTGCTAATTATATTTCTGTGAAAATTGCCATTATATTTTTAATAGGAATTGCATTGAACATGTAGGCTGCTTTGGGTAGTATAGACATTTTAGCAATATTCTTCTAATCCATAAGCATAGGATATCTTTACATTTATTTGTGTCTTCTTCAACTTAAGGTGATAATTATAATGCAATCAGAACAAAAGTTAAAATGGGACCATTTTATTCGTGTCTTAAGCTTTCTCTATAGTCTGAGGATTCCAAAAGAGACATAAATTTGTCTTCAGTAAACTTTTACAGAATATTTATCCTTACTTGATAAATTACTTGTCCCAGCTTTTTGAGGAAGTCTATTTGTGTTATATTACTAAAACCTAGGATGGCTTTTTCACCAACCATCTCTGTTTGCTGTATTCTCATTCATTCTGCTTCCTCATTTTCCCATCTGCTTTTATATCTGACCCACTTATTCATCCAATATTTATTGAGCATCTACCTTATGGCAGACACTGAGAATACACATTTGAACCAGATATATATGGTGCCTGATCTCTCATATTTTACAGACTATTAAGGGAGTGGTTCAATAAACAAATTTATTATCTTTTTAAAAAGATTGTTAGGGTTAAACCAGATAACGTCTGAGCACTTAAAAAAAAAATCTATCACATGACAAATAATACTGATGTACAATTGAGTAAATTTTAATGCTCAGTAAATGCATTATAGTTTTAAAAATATATTTATTTTTACTGATTTCAAAGAGGAAGGGACAAGGAGAAAGAGAAACATCAGTGATGAGAGAGAATCATGGATTAGCTGCCTCTTGCACCCCCCCTATTTGGGATCAAGCTGACAACCTGGGCATATGCCCTGACTAGGAATTGAACCGTGACCTCCTGGTTCATAGGCCAATGCTCAACCACTTAGCCATGCCAAACAGGCCCATTGTAATTTTTAATATCTAAATACGATTTCTAAATTCCATAGCCTGGCTTCAAGTTTACCGTTGTTCAAATACATTATTCTTTTCTGGTCTCTTCAACTTATGTCTTCCTGAAACTGGGTGAGGAACCCTGTCTCTGAAGTAGAAATAAAACCCTTCACTTCTTTCAATTCCCTTATAATATTCACTCACATGAAGCATTGAAGAATAGAGTTTCCTGAAAATTTCATACTAAAGGCATAAGTAATATTGGTACACCCCTATCAAACAATTTTTAAGTCTCTGTTAGTCTCTCGCTCTCGCTCTCGCTCTCGCTCTCTCGCTTTCTCGCTCTCTCTCTCTCATCTTTAGTGTTGAAAGTATTACACAAGTCCGCTCCCTCCTTCCCCCCATTGAATCTTCTAGCCCATCCTGCCTCTGATCCCGAGCCTTCACAACACTATTGTCTGTGTCCATGGATTGTAGACCCTTTTGGAATTCTTAGCAACTTTGCCAAAAGAGGTTTCTCTTCCTGACTCTTCCCTTTCTCTTTGATCTCCTAAGGAAAGGAAGTTCAACTTCCTCTCTCTTTTTCATATATATTTTAGTTATTCCTGCCTGAAATCCCTTCCATGGCTTTCCATTAATCTTTGGATAAATATAAAATCCTTAACATGGCCAACAAGATCCTGTGTCAGTTGGCCCTGCCCACCTCTCCACCCTTACTTTTTATCTCTCCCTCTGCTACCAGTTGTCTTCCTAACATCCTTCTGTAGGCTTTTCTGTGTTTTTCAACAGACTCTGTCCTGTCACAGGCATTAGCATGTGCTAGGAATGTGCCTTCCTCATTGATCCCTTTTCCCGCTTCCTTCCTCTTCTCATCCTCCAGGTTTCAGGGTATTTCACTAGCTAAGTCCCTCTCTTCTCTGCTCTCATTGTACCTGATTCGACACTTTTACTACTCTTACATGAATAATTTTTGTTCACTTTCTACATCCCCTAATAAGGTGAAAAGGGCAGGCAATATATCTGTTTTGTTCATGGTTCTATTCCTAACATCTATCCCAACCATGTTCCAAAATCCGAGCTCACTAAATAATTATAGAGTTTGCTATTTAGTCCATGCATATTTGGCTAACTCTTTTGGTTACTCTAAGAGAGAAAAAAAATAAAAAATAAAAAACAACACAATGAAAAGGTCAGCTTCTAACTTGTCTTCGGGTTCATGAGCAATGGAAAAGAATCCCTAGTCGTTATGATTTGGAAAAAAAATTACCCACCATTACGAAGGTGGTCAGTAGGATAAACAAGATGGGTTCTCATAGACTTGAGACTGGGACTTCTAAAGTTCAGAACGAGGAACTATGTTGAAATGTGTCATCTGACTTCAATTGCCATGGGAAGGGAGAGATTATCTCTAATATACTCTAATATGGCCAGATTCAATCTGTGTGGAGTGTTTGGGTCAAAATCAACATCTTGGATTTCATGCGGGAGCACTTGCAGTAAGGCTTGCAGATGTAATTTGCGGCATCCAGCTCACACCTCTGAGCAGATGGGTTTCTATGCTGTGCCCAGCAGAGGTTTGTTTTTTCTTCTTTGAAAGATTTGCCTGCGACTTTAATAAAATATTTTGACAAATGGAATATTGAGATCATTTATAAATTAAAACTTTGCTGTTGTTGGATTTAGTGAATTTTAATAGAAACTGATGTGAAAATCGTTGAGCATCTATGAAAAATAAATTAAAGCGTTGCTATTATTGGATTTAGTAAGTTTTAATAGAAACTGATGTGAAAATTGTTGGAAAACCTATGGAAAAGAGGAGAGCTGTTTTTTTGTGTGTGTGTGTAATTGTGGTTCATTTCAGTAGAACAATAAACATATGTATTGTTCCATTTCAGATTTTAAAAAATATTGTAGTTTGATAATTATTTTTTCCACTTGTTCTGAAGGATCATGATACACTACTGTAATAGTTTCTTTCCAGTTTTACTGAGTGTCTTTGACTTTAATCCTTAAACCATATGTAAATGGGATTCCTTAGGGGAAAGAGGGAGCTCAGAAAAGAGCTTCAGATTTCTCCTTGATGTTGTTTTTAAAATAGTTCTCTTGAAAACCATCATATATATGTTACAAATGGAATTAAACTGTTGAATTGCCTACATGCAGTTAATAGATTTGCATTGCAATAGGCGTTATTCGCTTCAAAGTGGTTCGCATCCAGCCTGCTCCTTCACTTGTTTAGCTGTAGATTCTGTGACATTTAAAGACTGGAAAAGGAACCATCTTTTATTTATTTCCTATTAATCAGTTTTTCATTTTCTACCCTCCCCCCCCTCCACACACACTTATTTTAAAAACAAAAAAACAAAATGCCATACTTACTTGGCAGGGGAGATACCATGATCACGAAGGTGGTTTCCCCAGGGTGAGGCCTATTGATTGCATGTCAGATGTGCTGACCCCTGCGATTTCCCCAAAAGTGGGAAATTCAACTGTGTGACTTGTGATAGTGGGGGACTGCATTGGCATTCTCCTCCGGAAAAAAAAAAAGGCAGATCTGATATGCTGTCATATTTTGGTTGATCACCTTTTGAAAAGAAACAATATAATTGATATTGTCTTAAGATCTTAAAAATGTGTTTTTAAAATTATAACAAGGTAATATGTTACCATTAAAGGAAATTTATTTTTTATTGCGTTACAATTGACATTTAACATTGTGTAAGTTGAAGTTATGAAACATCGATTTGATACATTTATATATTGCATGTATGGGAGGGGCCATTCTATGTAGAGCTGGGGGCAGATCTGTGAAAGGTCTGAGGATTTCTGATGTCTTCCTCCATTTGTCACTATTTTGTCTTCCACTGAGGGTGCTTGGCCTTCCTCCAGAGCCTTCCAAAGAAAGACTGTAGTGTGTGCCCAGGTAGGCCGCCACCTACAGACCTTCCCACAGTTTGGGAGCTCTGTAGTCGCTGATCAGTATGAGGAGGACAGTGTAAGGAGGGCTAGTGGGTCCCCTATTTGGTGCTGTCCTCAGGCACTCAATGAAGGGAAATGTCCCCTATTCCAGAGCCATACCACTCAGTCTGCCAGAGCCTCCCACTCTTGCTCCCCTAGGAAGAGGGAACCACAGGTTCAGGTTGAGTGCAGTCATCTAGCCCCTGTGCAGGAGTAAGCTCTGCTGGGCAGAGCCACCAGGGCTTGGGAGGATATATCAGAAGAGTCTCCCATTGGGAGTATTGCTGGTGGAGCCTGCAGCAGGGGGTCAAGCATTTTGTCCAGGTTCCAGACAACAGCCTTCTAGGGAGACATATCCTGATGTCCCTGCTTCGTGCAACACTCCCACCTTTCCACCCACCCATCTGATTTGGTTATTCTTTTTATCATTTTTAATGTCTTAATTCTTTGGAAGTCCCCATTACTTAATTAACATCACTTACACTTAAAGAACTTTTCTTTTTTTTTTAACTGTCTTTAAGTCAATTAATTGCTTAAGTTGTTTGGGGAAATTATATGAGCAATTTTGGATCACTTATATTTGGGGAGTGTGGTGTATATAGTCTTAAGAAAGTATTAACCCTCACAATAGATAATAAAATATTCTTGAGTACACTCCCATATTTGAAATAAAAACCTGCCTGAGTCATACTTATGTGGGACATAAGGGGAAAAAAGGGAGAGGAGGAAGATATTATTTGCTTCTAAAGATATTTAATGACTAAGGTTATGAAAGCAAGGAAGAACTGAGTAAAGTGTTACCTTTGTCTTCTGCTTCTAGTGTTGTGCAAAATCAGCAACATAGGGTAGAATGTATGGAAATCACACTATATGTTTTTCTAAAATTTACTCATTTGTACATCAGTATTATCTAATTCCTTAACCATTGTTGACACAGTCTCTGAATTTCCTTTCTTTTTTTGTTTAGTCCCAAAGCCCTGTCATATTCATTTTCTTTCACCTTATTTTCTCTGAATTACATCAGTGTTAGGTCTTCATTTTCTTGAGAATTGTTTTATTGATATGTTTTTCTCTGTTGATTATGTGTAGAGGAGGGCTTACAAATGCATATACAAATGGAATTCTCAGTCTTCTTGCTTTGTTTTTATATTTTCTTATTCTTTACACAGTTTGTTTGAAATTTTCTGATTTAGCCAGCAATAGTTTCTCTAAAATAAAGGACCTATATTATGGCATTAGAACTTTCTAATTAAGGAAAAAATATTAAACTTGAAGGTTTCACATTAGTACATTGTTTTGTCCTGGGTGTCTGAGCATATTTTATGGAGTCTCCAGAATGTTATATTGCCTATGTTATAAATAGATAAGGTGCTTTTATTTGTGTTTTATTTTTATTTTATGCACATACATACATGTATCTAGAAAAGGAATACTTGTGCAGTTAATAACTTTTGCTTTGTGTAATATTTTTTATAATGTTTAATTCTGGGAATATTTGTCATTGCATATTAAGACCTCATCTTAAAGGCACATAAAATATTAACTAAAATGTTCTTTTAAAGACTTAGAATATGATGTAGTTAATTTCTATTTGTTGGTCTGATTCCAGTATAGAAGCAGAGGCACATATCTGAGACAGTCCCAATGTCGTTTGGGATTTTTTAATTTAATGAATTTAAATATTCTGCTTTTTATCCAGCATAACAACCACTTGGCATTTCCTGGATAACAAAAAACTTGAAAACTATATATAGCTCACTACCAGTTTTAAAATGTGTAACCTCAAATCATTCCAAAATATTTTAAGACAAATTTGACAAAGTCTTTATTTTGTGAATAGCATGGAAATCTTTATAGGTTTTAAAATAATTTTAGAATTAGTTGCAGATGATTTAAAGTTTGTTATTTTTTTCTTGGGGGAACATTTTTTAAGTTTAAAAACAGGCAGATTACCATGGTACTGACCACATATTATCATGCAGTTCTAGTTGTTTCCATTCAAGTTATTGTGGACTACTTTATAGCTAGATTTATTATCTAAGTCTCCAGTTAAAAGTTTCTGATTTTAATTTTATTAACTATAATTGGTCAAGACATATTGAATATTTAAATTCATGAGGTTCTACCTTGTAGCATTCATGTATATTGGGTCTTACCACTAGAGATACTGATTAGGTAGATCTGAAGTAGGAACCCAGAGTCTGTATTTTAAGTAAGCACTTGCATGATTCTGTAGCAGGTGGTCCAACAGACCATATTATTGATATATTGTTTATTCTTTTCTTTTTTCATTCCACAGCCAGATCTGTAATCACCTTCAATCACTGCAAAGATTATTGCATTTTCCTAACTGAACAAACTCTCTGTGCTCTCTGAAGTTTAGTGCATACATCCCCAGCATTTGCACAATATAACCCACTAGGATGAGGGAAGAGGAAGTTAGAACTTATATATATAATATGTGTGTGTGTATGTATGTATGTATGTATAATCTCATTTCCTTCATTTCTATTTCTGTATGTTTTATAATGTATGAAATTATTGATGTAATAGTATGTTAAATAATTTTAGAAGGTAACTTACTATATAGCATGCAAATTGTTTACCACTATGTTATTATTTTTTTATATGTTAACATTTTACAGTTTATTTTCTTTTTTATCTTAATATATTTTTATTGATTTCAGAGAGGAAAGGGGGAGAGGGGAGAGAAACAGAGAAGCATCAATGATGAGAGAGAATCATTGATTGGCTGTCTCCTGCATGTCCCAGGCTGGGGATTGAGCCTGTAACCTGGGCATGTGCCCTGACCAACAATCAAACCTAGACTTCCTGGTTCATAGGTTGATGCTCAACCACTGAGCCACACTGGTTGGGCTATTATATTCTTTTTTAATTATGACTTGTTGAATGTTTTATAATTCAAATCTAGATAACAGACAACTTAATATCTAGTGACAATTAACAGCGTTTATGTATGTGTGCTTCTTTATCAGGTGATGCTTTTCCTTGGACTATTAGCTTGCATCATTTTAGCGTATACACTCTTTTTGGAAAACAAGTGACACTCTGCCTAGTGGATCCTATGGGTTGTACCTCTACTCTAGCCGTGACATCTCAGAAACTACTCGCAACAGCACCTGATGCAAGACATTCATTTGTTGTCTGCCTCCATGTTGACCTAGAGTCTCTTGAGATAAAATGCTCAAATCCCCAGGTTGGTACATTTGGTTTATGAAAAGAAATTTAAAATAATGTGATTTAAGAATAATTGTTATCCATTTTGTTGCAGAGTTTCTCTTCTATTAAGCATCCTAAATTTATTTTTAACAAGGCCATCAAGATTAGAATGGTTAGATTAAGAATTTCTTTGAAGCTCTCTCAAGTTTTGTAATTTAAACTCTTAAAAATGTAATGGTGGCAGCATAAATGCATCTTTTGGCTGATGGGATGAAATCAGTTGCAGATGTAAAGTTTTTAAATACTGATGAACTACTTTATCATCAGACTGGAGAAGTCTGTTGAAGTGATCAAATGTAATTTTCACTCAGATTATCATTCAGAACTTCTTTTGCTCAATATAAAATTATTTTTTACAAGTACTTGTTTACTATTTTAAAAAGGTATTTTGTTACTCTCATAACATTAGTTGATATAGGCCAAAGATATTGTTTTCTACAGTTTTACAATTTGATTTCTATTTTAATCACCTAGGTTTGTGCAAATTATTAATTGCATAGAATTTAATATTTGTTTCTTTGACCTCAAGCAGACTTTAATATATTTTTATATACCTTATCAGTGTTTAATTCTATTTGAAATTTTATTTTTAAATGAATATTTTTTAGAATATTACTAACTCTACTATTGAAAATCTGTGTTTATCTCAGCATTAGTGATTTTAAGTGAGTTTTAAAAGTATGTTTTTAAAGTGGCTCAGCTATAACTGTGTTTTATAGAGCCTGATAGCATCCTCTATCCCCGTACTGTATATTATACAGTTTGGTTTAATTTTCATTTTTATTTGTGCATGTTGTAAACATTAGACTGGCTATATATTAGTGATCGCCTTATTAAAATGCATATAATTGCCATTCTATTATGACCCACAGTGGTATAGGAGAGGATAATTATTAAGTGACTTACTCTTTCATAGATTTTTTCCCCCTGAATGCTTTTGCTGATATTTGCTTCAAAACATTTCCAAGAAGAGAAATTATTATGGGTTAAATTATGTCCTTCCCCAAAGATATGTTGAATTCATAACCCTCACTATTTTAGTATTTAGCATGAAATTCACAGTGGCAGGGTTTATTGGAACAAAAACAAAGGACTGTCCTCAGGTGCCCAATCTCTCATCCACAACCAGGGGCTCAAATATCTTTCACTGTGGAAATTCTGTTCCTGGGGCCTTTGACCTGCACCCCTACTTGTCAGGTCCAGGGGGGCAAAGACCCAGAGATGCAGAACTTTGGTATCTCACTTTCCACCTGTATGTTTGCCAACAAGGCACAGTAGCGCCTAGGCCAGGACCAGCCTGCAGTTTGCCCATGCTTGGGAACTTGAGAACACAGG